TTCTATCTTATATAAACTTTTGCAGAGAATAGAAAAAGAGAGAAAATTACCCTTATAAGGCTTGTTAACCAAATTGGACAATAAAAGAAAATTAGAGGCCAGTCTCACCTCAACATGAATGCAGTAATACTATATAAACTTGAGTAAATGGAATCCGCATTATATTCTAACATTTAGGGTTTTCAAGCATTTTTTTCCAAGATTAAAAAACAATAATAATACCATTTGCCACATACATAGATGAAGGAGAGACTCCATATGTTCTTCCCAATAGATTAACACACATGATTTGATAAAAATTTAACTCATTCATGAAAAAACAATTTCGTAGCAAACTTTCCTTACCTTCATAAAGGTACAAAACTAAAACAAACAAAAAATCCCACTCAATGGTGAAAATATTTCTAATAATAATAGCCCTTATTGAATTTCATGTTTTACATAATTTCACATGTATTAAATAATTTAATCCTAAGATCCCCAATAGCAAGGTATTATCTTCTCCATTTGACAAGTGGAAAATGTGACAGAGAGAGGTTAAGTAACTTGCGCAAAATCATACAGGTAGTAAGAGGTAGAGCTGGGATGTGAACCCAGGCACATTGGCCTCAAAGTCCGTCCATACTTTTAACTAGGATGCCATAATTTCTTGAAAAATATCCAAAACTGCTTAATTTCCACTGCCCGTGTAGACCATGTACTCCTGGATTGAATGTGGCTTCTGTCTAGTCCTGTTTGGGCAGAATTTATGTGGGCCCTAGAACTTGTGTCTTAGGGTCACTTTCCCCTGAGGTCCCCATATCCATTTCAGCGATAGAGTCATCCTCAGTAGATTCCTGAACAGAATCTGTTATTCATGCTCCTAAAGTTTATGCCCCTTGGGGTCTAGCAAGGATCAATACTTCTGCCATGTTCTCTCCCCACCAAAACTAACCTTTTTCAGCTTTTGGATTTTCTCTACTCTTAAGAACTTACTTCACTTCAATGGGATGCAGAAGATTTTCCCTTTCTCACGTTGCTTTCTGTGGTGGAGATCCATGACAAAGACTACCTGGTCTTCTGGGCTACATTTCCTCTACTCTTTTTAAGAAGGTTCCCTTAGTTTTATAAATGTTATCCTGCCCCTCAGAGTGATCCCTTTCCTTCTCAAAAAACCTGTAAGCAGCCTTGTTTGGTGGGACTGAGTGCTCTCCCTTTATTATTTCCCCTTGATTTAGGGCTCAGACATTTGGTTTGCTAACATAGTCTTTTATTTTTGTTTTGGGAAGGTTCCCATAAGACAGAAGTATAAAGCCAAGGAGTTACTGAATGATCAAATCACCCACTGTTTACCGAATCTTGCCCACCTTCACCTCCATTGGATAAATTCATACTCTCCCAATGGACTTCAAGCCCAGAGTCAATCACTTTGGTCGCCCCTGGTTCCTTGTAATATTTCTCCTCTTTCCTGTGCTTCTCTTTTGAGAAGATTTAACTCTAGAAATTCTTGGTCCCCTAGGGCTCAGGAGATACAAAAATCTTTACCTAAGTAACTTCATCACTTTGAGACCGAATTAATAATATGTGAAAGATTCTAATCTAATTGCCCACATTCTAGACTTAAAAGTCTATTCAGATTTTTTGTAGCCACTGTGACTAGCTCTCCTGTTCTTCAAGGGAACATCCCCAAGGGCACCTGCAGTTAGTCAGGTATCCCCTGGATTTGTGCTCGCTCTGGGAGGATTAGTCTGGTTTCCTCTGTTACATTTTTTAAGACTCTAGTCACTCTCTCTAACCTATTAATTTTTAATTACCCCCCCCCCTTTAAAGTCCTACTCAGTAAGCTGTCAAGTCTGGTTATTGTTGCTGTGTTTTCCTTTCTGTACGTTGAGTGTGGCCTTCAAGATCTCCCCTTTCCTGTTCTGTCTAATGTGCTCTCCCAAATTCCAACAATTCCTTTAAGGAAATCTTAATTTTTCTTTCTCTCAAGCATTCTCTAGCTTGTCTTCTGCTATTTCCTGAGCCATGTTTTTGGGCATCGCTATACTATAAAAAATGAGAAATTCACCTTATTATATAAAAAGGAATTTAATGAAGGTCAATGATAAAGTAACTACTTCAAAGAGTTTTACCATCAGCATTGTGAACCCCAAGTCCATAAAAACCTGAGTTCTCTTGCTTCCAAGAAGTCAAATCCCAAATGCACAAGTACTTATCAACCTTCTGCTTGTGTCACAGTTGCTAATGTCCCACTGAACCAAGTAAGTCACATGGCTAAACCCAGAGTCAATGTGGGAGGGAACTATGAAAGGTCATAAATACTGGGAGCCATGATTCATTGGGGACCACTGATATAAAAGCCTACCTACCACCCTACCATTATATGTACATGCATTTTAACAATATGCTTCTTGGGGCACCTGGGTAACTCAGCCAGTTAAGTGTCTACTCTTGATTTCGGTTCAGGTCATGATCTCAGGGTTGTGAGATGGAGTCCCAAGTCAGGCTCTGCACTGGGCATGGAGTGTACTTGGGATTCTCTCTCCCTCTTTTTCTGCTTCTTCTCTCTCTCATTCTCTGTCTCAAAGAAAAAAAATGTTTCTTTGCCATCACTACATTCATGATCAATTCTTGCTGCTGTCCTTTCTTCAGTTTCTTTCTTAATTATTCATATTTCAGTTTTAGAGCCTCTTCTCAATGGCCAATCATTTTATTAAATCTTTAGATTTCAATCTAGAAAAGGAAAACTGAGTGACTTCATAATGCTCTGTGACAGATTACTATACGAGTTAGGAGGAACGGCTATACTGTTTTAATTCCCAAAAGGAGGAAAGGAAAAGGAAAAAAGCTTAAGATAGGGCAGATGAAAAGATGCAAAAAAATACCTGGTGTCTCAGTTGCAACACAGACATCTGAGCAGTCCCTACAGGATCTACAGAATATATTTCAGCCATTATGTCTGCCATATTTGAATTATATCATTTCTAGAGCTTTGGAAAGACAAGCAGGACCACCTAAGTTATGACTAACATTAGAGTGTCCTCTGAGTATCAAACACAGGGATGAACAAGATGCAGTCCTTGTCTCTGAGGAGCTCATACTTAAGTGTCAGAAACAGATTATCAAGTAACTAAAATACAGAGTTAAAAGAGAAGCATCCTATAAATAATAATGTCAAAAATAATTTTTAAATAAGAAATAAAAAAATAATGGGCAACTGCCCTTTATTTATACCAAACTCAGTTTGGCTAACCTGAGAGAATGGGACTTAGAAAAGGAGAAACAGGGGGAAGATAAAAAAAATTGGACATGCTTGAGAAGGACTGGGGAACAGAAGAAAATGGAATCTACATATAAGAGATAAAGAAAAGGTAATGTTTTGCCTGCTTCATTTTATCTAGACTGAAGATGGATAAGAAGTAGACTAGATAAAATTTTAAAATTTTAAGTTCTAAACTATATTCTTGAATTCCCAATACCCACCCCCTTCTCATCCAGAAGGCATTTTATAAAGTATGGAGAATCCTATCCTGACAAAGTAGACACCATTCTTCAGATTACGGCCAGAGGGTTGTGTGAATTGAAAGGAAGAAACTTAAGAGACTTGTCACTTAAGACATGTGACTTCTAGGCCATGTTATAGCTGCACTTGGATTAGTCTAGAGCTCTGAAACCAATATGAAAGGGTTTCACAACTCAAATATGACAGATGAGCTCATTTTAAAAGTGCCAAATTCCTTTTATGGAATAATACAGAAAAACCGGTGGGGAACAACTATTAGTGGTATTTTTCATTGACATTCTAAACCCACACAAACATTAGTAATCTAGATAACTAGATTAGTAAAATTACATAATCTAGAATCAATGAACTAGAATGAAGAAACTCGATAAAATCAAACCTTGAGGTACATATTTTTCTATAGAATTTAGTACTTCACAGTGGCTGATTTATGAGCAATTGTAGAAATTTTGTGTTTTGAATGTTGTGTATTGAGATTAAAAAAAAACAAACACGCTGATGCTGTTCTAAAGAAATACCATAAAGATGGGTAGTAAGAGGCCCTGTGTTTGGTTTTGTACAATACAGAATACTTGTGAACACCCTCCCTCTAACATTTCATCCTAAATGTTTAGGAAACCAGCTGAGCCATTTCTCTCCATAATGTAGATATGGTTTAACAAATGGAATTCCCAGATCAGTTCCTCCACTTAAATGTGATACAGGTACCACTAGATTTATAGCACACCAAGGATAAACTCCAGATGTAGCTATAACCAGGACTTGCAACATGCAGATAAAGGAGAAAAGGAATCCTCGGTCCCATTTATCCTAACTTTTGAAAATAGAAAACGGGGTGGGTGGCTCAGTTGGTTGAGCGACTGCCTTCGGCTCAGGTCATGATCCTGGAGTCCCTGGATCGAGTCCCCCATCGGGCTCCCTGCTCGGCAGGGAGTCTCCCTCTCCCGCTCCCGCCCCCTGCTTATGTTCCCTCTCTCGCAGTGTCTGTCAAATAAATAAATAAAGTCTTTAAAAAAAAAAAAATGAAAGAAGTGTTTCTGTGTTAACTAAACTCCCGAGAGCACAGGCACACCCCAGACAAATATGGGGCTAGTGAGGCTATGTCAAAACACGTACACCCTTGGGGCGCCTGGATGCCTCAGCGGTTGGGCGTCTGCCTTTGGCTCAGCTCATGATCCCAGCGTCCTGGGATCGAGCCCCGCATCGGACTCCCCGCTCTGCGGGAAGCCTGCTTCTCCCTCTCCCACTCCCCCTGCTTGTGTTCCCTCTCTCGCAGTGTCTCTCTCTGTCAAATAAATAAAATCTTTAAAAACAAACAAACACGTGCTCCCCAACGAAGCCTCCAGGCTCCGCGCGCAGGCAGCCGGAACTCAAACGGACTCCCTTAGAATTTCTCCAAGAAACCGTTGGGTGGGGGTGGAGTTGGGCGCTCCGAGCGCCCAGTAGCTGCAGTCTCATCTGCTGTCCAGTTTGAGAACGTTGCCTTTCCTTCCCAGAAATGAGCTTTAGGCCTTCCAAGGTGGTGCGGGAGGCCTGGCCCGAGGTGGAGGCGGGGCGGGAACCCGAGGCCGGGCCTGGGCCAGACTCCGGGAGGCCGTTGGAGGTGGAGGCAGGCCTGCGGGCAGAGCCGCTCCCCGCCTCCAAGCAGGACTCAGAGCAGCTCTTGGAGTCAAGTCAAGGACGGGAACCCGAGCTGAACTGGGCTTCGGGGCAGAGCACGCAGTCCCTTGGGGTGTCCCATTCCCAGTCGGGGTCAGTGCAGGGGCGTTCAAGTCCGCAGGCTCCCAGGTCGGAAAATCAGTTGTCGGAGAGACCCCGCTGCCGCACCAACTGCCTAGAGGCGCCCCTCTCCCGCGCCTTCGGAAGACTGGGGTGGGAGGTGGGCTCGCACCCCTGGATCTTCCTGCTGGTGCCCATGGTGCTGACGGCCGCTCTGGGCACTGGCTTGATTTACTTGCCCACGGATGTAGAAGAAAACCTCGAGGAGCAGTACACCCCCATAGGGAGCCGGGCCAAGGCTGAGCGGCGCTTTGTGCAGGGACATTTCACCACCAACGACTCTTACCTCTTCTCCATCTCCAGGAAGAGCACCGAAGTCAACTTTGCTTGTATTCTGGCGGTCTCCAACACTGCCTCACTGCTGGAACAAGAAATCCTAGAGGAAATTGGTAAATTGGACGACGTGGTACAGGATCTGTATGTGACCGAGGAAAACAGAGCCCAGATCTGCTACAGTCAGGTGTGCGCTAAGAACCAGGGCCCCTGCGTGCCCTCCAACCCACTCCTGGCTGCCTGGAAGATGAACAAGAACCTCGACCTGAGACACATCACCTTCCCAATCTTCAACCAAACGGGTCAGCCCATCTACCTGGCTGGCACCATTGGGGGAACCCTTTTAGGCAAGAGGATGGGAATGAACCAGTTACTCGTGAAGGCCAAAGCCATGCGGCTTCTGTACTACCTGAAGACGGAGGATGGAGAGGTCAACGAGCTTAGCAAGATGTGGTTGATCTATTTCCTGAACCAGTTTAGCAACATGAAAACGAGTCTGGCCCTGAAGAAGATCCAGGTACCTGGTGGCTGGGCTTGATGGGGAGGCCAGGAGAAGGTGGGAGGAATAAGGACACTTTTTCCAAGGAACATAGCAGTAGCACTCCCTGATTATTTGATGGAGTCCTTGGCTTGAAGCTGGGAGTGCTCTACTCTATTTGGTACTTAATCCAGAGGCCTTAATCTCACACATCAAAGGTTGCCACAAATCTTAAATCCTTAGTAATGTTCTGGTGGAAGACACAAATCCTACAACCTCAAGGTAGGTCTGTTCCGTACAGACATTGATCATCAGGTTTCCTAGTCAAATGACTTTGAAATTCCTACTTTTAGTTAAAGTCTCTGCTGTTTGGGGGAGCCCCCTAAAACTTGTTTGGAGTTCACTGAAATAAAAAATAAAAAATAAAAAAATAAAAAAAACCTTTAAGCAGAAGTTCCATGGTGTTTTTGAAAAGAGAACTAGCTTAGCATTTTCCGAGTAAGTGATTGCACCCAGGCACATGCTAACTATTCTGTAACGTTGGGCCAGCAAGCCTACTAGTACTTGTGAATAAGCCTGGTCAAAGTGAGACAACTACTGGAAAAAGCCTTTGAATGCTAGAGCTTTCTGAAATATCAATACAATTAAAATAGTAAAAGACAACAACCTAATAAAATTTAGAAAAAGCGACACTTTTCTGTGGCTGTTAATGACTTCACAGTCTTATACAGAACTCAGATTTT